GAGGAGAGGAGAGGAGAGGAGAGGAGAGGAGAGGAGAGGAGATAATTTGTGGCCAACTGCATTTAAAGAAAGAGTGAATTACTACGACGTAGTATTAGGGCCACACAAGATGTTGCTGCTGACTCAGGACTTCTGTCAATACTCATCCTCCTTGATCTGAACTCTGCCTTTGACACCATCTCTCATCCTATCCTCAACGACCAACTAACCTCTATCGGCATCTCAGACACCCCACTGGACTGGTTTAAATCCTATCTTTCCGACCGCACTCAGTTCAAACAGCTCAAGTCCTTCCGCTCCCAGTCTTCACCCTTCTCCACCGGTGTTCCCCAAGGTTCTGTACTCAGGCCTCTACTTTTCATAATCGATCTGCTCCCGCTTGGCCACATCTTTTGTAAATTTGGTATCAATTTCCACTCTTATGCCGACGACACTCAACTCTACATTTCAACAAAACCGAACTCCACCCTCTCATCCTCCACTCTTACCGACTGCCTCAGTGAACTCAACAAAGGTGCTTAATTGGTCATCAGTGTAAGTTTCCACACAATGACGAAATTTGTGCTCTGCATTTGACCCATCCACACCCAAATGGAGCAGCAGGCATCCATGTGAGATGCCCAAGGAGCAGTTAGGGTTGGGTGTCTTGCTCAAGGACACCACGACATGTGGGCATGACAGGGAGTCGAACCTAAGACTTTCGGGTCCCAAGCCGGCTGCTCTACCACTACACCATAGCCGCCCCCAACTGGTTCTCTAACAATTTCCTCCAACTAAACCATAACAAAACTGAACTCCTACTTGTTGGGACAAAAAACTCCATTTCCAAATCCCAACATCTTCTCTTCACTCTTAACAACTCTGTTCTTTCCCCCTCACCTCAGGTCAAGAACCTAGGTGTCATCCTTGACACCACACTCTCTTTCACATCCTACATTAACAACGTGACTCGATCTGCATACTTTCATCTTCGCAACATTAACCGTCTCCGTCCTTCACTCACTCCCTGCTCCACTGCCATCTTTGTACACAGCCTGGTAACATCCAGGATCGACTACTGCAACTCCCTACTGTTTGGCCTCACCAACAAATTCCTTCACAAACTACAGATGGTTCAGAACTCAGCAGCCCGTGTAATCACTCAAACCTCATCCTCTGCCCACATCACTCCAGTCCTACAACAGCTCCACTGGCTCCCAGTTAAATCCYGCATCATCTTTAAAATTTTCCTACACACCTTCAAAGCNATTAGGGCCACACAAGATGTTGCTGCTGACTCAGGACTTCTGTCAATACTCATCCTCCTTGATCTGAACTCTGCCTTTGACACCATCTCTCATCCAATCCTCATCGACCGACTAACCTCTATCGGCATCTCAGACACCCCACTGGACTGGTTTAAATCCTATCTTTCCGACCGCACTCAGTTCAAACAGCTCAAGTCCTTCTGTTCCCAGTCTTCACCCTTCTCCACCGGTGTTCCCCAAGGTTCTGTACTCAGGCCTCTACTTTTCATAATTGATCTGCTCCCACTTGGCCACATCTTCCATAAATTTGGTATCCATTTCCACTCTTATGCTGATGACACTCAACTCTACATTTCAACAAAACCGAACTCCACCCTCACATCCTCCACTCTTACCGACTGCCTCAGTGAACTCAACAAAGGTGCTTTATTGGTCATCAGTGTATGTTTCCACACAATGACGAAATTTGTGCTCTGCATTTGACCCATCCACACCCAAATGGAGCAGCAGGCAGCCATGTGAGGCGCCCGGGAAGCAGTTAGGGTTGGGTGTCTTGCTCAAGGACACCACGACATGTGGGCATGGTGGGGAGTCGAACCTAAGACTTTCGGGTCCCAAGCCGGCTGCTCTACCACTACACCACAGCCTCCCCCAACTGGTTCTCTAAATTAAACCATAACAAAACTGAACTCCTCCTTGTTGGGACAAAAAACACCATTTCCAAATCCCAGCATCTTCTCTTCACTCCTAACAACTCTGTTCTTTCCCCCTCGCCTCAGGTCAACAACCTAGGTGTCATCCTTGACACCACACTCTCTTTCACATCCCGCATTAACGTGACTCAATCTGCCTATTTTCATCTCCGCAACATTAACCGTCTCCGTCCTTCCCTCACTCCCTGCTCCACTGCCATCCTTGTACACAGCCTGGTAACACCCAGGATCGACTACTGCAACTCCCTATTGTTTGGCCTGCCCAATGAATCCCTTCACAAACTACAGATGGTTCAGAACTCAGCAGCCCGTGTAATCACTCAAACCTCATCCTCTGCCCACATCACTCCAGACCTACAACAGCTCCACTGGCTCCCATGGCTCCCAGTTAAATCCTGCATCATCTTTAAAATTCTCCTACTCACCTTCAAAGCTATCCACAATCTTTCCCCTCCTTACCTGTCTGACCTCCTGAACATCTCCACACCCTCCCGCTCTCTAAGATCTGCCTCCTCCCTCCAACTCTCAGTACCTCCTGCCCGCCTCAGCACCATGGGGAGCAGAGCTTTCAGCTCAGGAACTCACTACTCCATGGATTACGTAATACCACCTCTCTCTCCCTGTTTAAGACTGGCCTGAAGACATCTTTTCAAATTAGCCTAAGACTGTTAACTCCAATCTTCAATATGTCTGTTTTTGTTGTCCTCACTTCGATGTTTCTCCCCCACACTTTATTATATGACTGTTCTGTACTCCACATTTCTGTTCCTACCACACTACCCTTATCAATATATGTATCTACAGTTTTGTTTTGTTTTTCCCTTCATTTTACTTTTTTCTATTGTACAGTGTCCTTGGGTGTCCTGAAAGGTGCTTTATAAATAAAATGCATTATTATTATTATTATTAAGATTTTTTTAATTTAAAATTTTTAATTATGAGAATAAAGTCAATATTGCGACTTTAAAGTCG